GTTGGCGGTGGAGCCGGAGGTGGAGTTGGCGGTGGATCCGGAGGTGGAGTTGGCGGTGGAGCTGGAGGTGGTGTAGGTGCGGGAGTTGGTGGTGGAGTTGGAGGTGGTTTTGGTGGAGGTGGAGGTCATGGTGGTGGTGCAGGTGTTGGGGGAGGAGCTGGTGGTGGTGTTGGTGTTGGTGGAGGATTCGGAAAAGGTGTAGGATTTGGAGGGGGAATAGGGGCTGGCGGAGGTGGTGGCGCTAGAGGCAGTGTTGGGGGAGGGGTTGGAAAAAGTGGCGGAACACACCATCACTAATATGTTTTAATGTGTGACTTACATTTATATCATTTCATCAAAAGATTTCTCAACTATGTATTACACTAATTACACATTGAGGATGCGCATGACCTCGAGTAATTGCTAAAGCTTACATAATTGTTGCTCTTAATGGAATAAAACCAAAGCTTATTGTTATTGTTGTCTATCCTCAAGTATGTTGGTCCTCTTCTATATTGCTTTATCTTTTTAACACTTTGACTTTTATGTTTGTGTGTTTCTATAGTGTATTAATAGTATCTTTGAGTGACTTCATGTTTTACAAAGGAAAACCGAGTCACATTTTTTTTAGTACTATTGACTCCAACGATTTTTACTTCGGAGAATTTAGCTAAAGAATACTAAAATATAGTGACTTTCCCAGTATACTATCATATGTTTTATTTCTCAAAATCCACCATATTTTTAGGGACGGAGGGAGTATTTAGTTATAGACTTGAGAATCAGATTTTTAATGGTATAATTTGATATTAAAATTTTCTTGCGAAAATCAAAACAAAGCAAGTTTGGAGTTTTCACTCTTCGGGATTAGTAACATTATTCTTCTTTAAAAAATTTGGGTGGGGCTTTATCCTCGAATTGACGCTTTAGTTGTGCTTTTGGTTCTCTAAGATCATCTAGTGCATCTTAGTGCTTGCATTACAATTTTGTAATTACTGCACTAGCGACTTAAGTGTGTATCCAGCATTCGTCCTTTCCTTTTATATGATGAAGAAATAATTATCTTTAATCAAAATCAAAAGTAGAGTAAATTTTACTTAGTGATAAAAGAGGAAATATCACCCAAATAGGATATTTTATTAAATATCTTTTCAATCTTAGAATATTTTTCGAGTATGATTTTTTTTCATTCAAACAAGATAAACATTAATTATCAATTAAATAGAAATTGCATTTGTTATTAAAAATAAACGAGTTACCTGGAAAAAAAAGTCATTTTTATACTCTACACTAGTATTCCGACCCGTGCCATGCACGGGGTCGAGCGCAATTTGTGTCGATTCTGAATTATTTCAATTAAATATATTTTTCATTATAAAGAAAATTTATTGTGCAAATTATTTTTAATACTACAGATGAAAAAAGCCAAAGTAAAATAAATAATATTTGCATAACAGAATGTGGAGATAACAATGTTTATTTTAATACCAAATTTTCTGAAAGACTTCAGGGTATACAACATTTTTGGTATGGTTACAAGGGTTTCCATTGTCATCTAGAACCAATATCTTTAATCTTGTCTTCGTCTTCACTCATGAAACAGCAACATATAGTTGACCATGTGTGAACACTGACTTGGTTAAAACTAACCCCACAAATGATAATGTTTGACCTTGACTTTTGTTGATAGTCATAACAAAACATAAGGCAATGGGGAATTGTCTTCTTTAGAACTTCAAGAGTAGGCCTGGATCAGATGGTATCAAATTCATTCTAGGGATGTAAACTTTTTTCCCAACTCGATTTCCCAAAACCACAATTGCATCGATAACATTATTTCACAGCTCTTGAACGATTAATCTTGTCCCATTACACAATCCAGATATTTGGTCAATGTTTCTCAATAGCATAATCGGTACCCCTTTTTTCAAGACTATTCTGTGGTTTGGGATTCCCGAACATTTGATTTCGTTCAAAAACTCAACTGTTATCCAATCGCCATCAACACCTACATCTGCATCTGCTTGACACGAAGAATCAGAACTCAAGTACTCCTTTTCATCACCAGGAATAAGGGACATGACAAATTCATTTATTATTTCAACTACTTCGAGAGTTGGTGCCAATAGTGCTCTATCCTCAAAAAAAGAATAATTTTTCATATTCTCTAATATATTCGGATAAGGGAAGTCCACTATACTCTTCATAGGAGAACTTGTATCAAGAATTAATAATTCAGGCGGAATCTCAACATCACCAACTCCGTCCATCACCTGACAGAGCTTTCCATCACCCATTTTGATTATCCAATCAGAAAAAGCTTGTGTGTCCCTATCTGAGCAAGAAGACGTGGGTGAATGCAGTCTCATATTTGTTAGAATAATAGACCAACGCTAGAGGGGGGTGAATAGTGAGGCACGAGAATGTTTATAAATTTTCGCAGAATAAAAATCGCAGGGATAAAGTAAAGAGCGGAATAAAAAAGAGTAAAGGGAGCACACCAAGATTTACCCTGGTTCACCACAACTTGTGGCTAATCCAGCCTCCCGAGAGACTCTCTCGAGCTACACTACTTCCGTTAAGCTTACGGGTGCTTAACAAACCGTTACAACCTGAGAACTCGAGTCCCACGAGCCTCAATACACTTGCTCGGAGATACCGCACTCCAAGACATCAACCCGAAGGAAAATACCTTTCCTTCGTACAACCAAGGGAAACAAGCTTCCCTAAACGTGTTTACAACACTAAGAACACTCAAGAACAAGACTCTCTTTAAGAGTAGATGTTGAGTAAACTATATACGCTCAAGAACAACTCAAACTTCACAAATTGACTCTAGAAAGCTATGGAAAATAATGTTGTTTGGATGCAATGATAATATGAATAAAGTGAAGTGAATTGATGAGAAAAGAAGACCCAAACACCCCTTTTTATAGTGCCAAAATAGGCTCCAACGGACCAATACATTAAAGGGGTGATTGGCTTGATTTATGGGATTGAATAAATTTGGGATCTGCAGGATATTGGCTTCCCATCGATGTTTGGAACTTACCCATCGCTAGTAAGCCAATTTTCCTTTAGTTTTGAAGCCAACGGTTACCTACCCATCGATGGGTAAATGCTTCCCATCGCTGGGTGGGAGGTTGACTTTCAAATAAGGAAAGAATCAGCCTTAAATGACTCCCAACGGTCATGCCTTCCCATCGATGGTTAAGCCTTCCCATCGCTGGGTTCGCATCGATGGGTAAAGCTTCCCATCGCTGGGTAAGGGCATTCTGCCTTGTGGTAATGTTGCACCAAGGCTTTAACAGCGATGGGTAGAACTTCCCATCGCTGTTTGGCATGGTTCTGGAAATCAGTTTCGTTGAGGGACTGCTTACCCATCGATGGGAAGATCTTCCCATCGCTGGGTGGCATGATTCTGGAATCCCGGGAACACTTACCCATGCATGCGTAAAATCTACCATCGCTGGGTAGATGGCAAGCCCAGAACCATGGCCTAGCCGACCGGCGCTCAAACCCGACCGAAAAATGCAAAGTTCTCCAAAGTAAAAACTAAGTATTTAAAACACTTATTTAATGTATTGTGATGTTAAAACAAGCTTTGTAAGTTGAAAACCATGTCGTTAAGGTAAAAACCATGGTTGACCAAGTCAACACCGTACACGGGTGGTTTTCACCAAAAGACAAAACCGGAAGGTGGTTTTCATGATGTTTTGATTGGAGAACCATTTAAATGCATTCAAAAACAATTCCCACAAAAAAAGACTCGAAAACCACTTCATTTAAGTGAAAACCACGGCTAGCCAAGTTTATGCCGTTTCGCGTGGTTTTTATCAAACGANGTCGTTAAGGTAAAAACCATGGTTGACCAAGTCAACACCGTACACGGGTGGTTTTCACCAAAAGACAAAACCGGAAGGTGGTTTTCATGATGTTTTGATTGGAGAACCATTTAAATGCATTCAAAAACAATTCCCACAAAAAAAGACTCGAAAACCACTTCATTTAAGTGAAAACCACGGCTAGCCAAGTTTATGCCGTTTCGCGTGGTTTTTATCAAACGATAAAAAACGAAAGGTGGTTTTTGAAGTGTTTTTGATTTAAAACTATTTAAATATGCCCAGAAGTAAAAACCAATCATAAAAAGTTGAAAACCACTTGGTTAGTTCGGACGCCAAAAACCAACGCCGAAAACCGAATGCCGAACGCCGGTTTCTGAAACCCGAACGCCGGATGGCTTGATTTTTGGTTTGGGCGAACACCAAGTGTTTTTAATGTTTTAAAAATGTTTGAAAAACATTTTTATTATGTGTGAAATTCAATGAAAAGAATTTTAGCCTAAAGAGCCAAGGTGTAAAGGTTGGGTCGGTCTTGATCACAATTATGACCGACTCAACAACACTAAGACTACGGTCTTCGTTCTTGGTCTTCTTTTGGATCTTGTTCTCTTGCTTTCTTCTTATATTTATTTCTCGCCTTGTACATTCAATAACTTGTCTCGTTCACGGCGGTTTGGCATTATCAAAACCTATCATAAAAACGAACACGGCTTTAGTACGAAAACATGATAAACCCGTGTTTCAACAATATTCGTGGTCAACGTATAAACTTTACAGTACGACCACAAATGTGAGGAATTGACCGTAGCACCTATGATTTGCTCTCTCGAAGCTCCGGATAAAACTGGAAGGATCTGTCGAAACTCACCTCCGAGTATAACTGTTTTCCCTCCAAATGGTTCATTTCTGTAGTTAGCATTAGAGAACCCCATGATATCTCTCATTGTGCGATCCAAAGCCTTAAAAGCAAATCTATTCATCATGCATACTTCATCCCATATGATCAGACTTGCTTGTTGGATAAATTCAGCTTTCGGGCTCCCTTGTTTGATGGCACACGTTGAGCACTCAGTTAGCGCCAATGAGATTGAGAATCTAGAGTGTGCAGTCCTTCCACCAGGAAATAACAATGCTACAATCCCACTGGATGCAACATTCAGGACAATCTTTCCTTTTGATCTAAGAGAAACGGATAATGATTTCCAGAGGAAGGTCTTTCCGGTTCCCCCGTAACCATACACAAAAAAAAACCTCCTTTTTCAGCTGTCACGACTTCCACTATATCGTCGTATATCTTCCTTTGGTCCTCGTTCATGGTAGATAAGTATTGTCCAAGATCAGATGACAATTTTTCTCTATCATAGTTCAACTCCTCGACCAAGAAGTTATTTTGAAATCTATTGAGTGGGTTGTCATCTGGAAATGGCATACCACCAAACTCTTTTAAGGAACGCCCGTTTGAATTAAGTAACTTCTCAATCTCAATCAAACACAAATTCTTTAGATCTTCTTGGGAGATAAAAAGTTCTAAAAAAAAGAAGTTAATATTAGACTAAATTATTTCGACAAAGATGTCAATTATAGAGATTTGTATAGATACCATTAATTTCATATTAATATTTATATAAATAATAAAACA